TGAAAGGTAAATGGAATTCATATCTCATTGAATTCAATAGAACTAAAGTCGCGCGAATTAATTGAAAAAATTGAGTGTTGAATTCCAACAGCGAAAAGGTGGAAACAAATCCTGGTCTCGGTTTCAGAATAAGTTAAATTTTAGGATTTTCGAGTGCCATTAAGCTTATTAGCAAAATCATTGGATTTGAATTAGCACAATAAATTAAAAATGGCATAAAAATAGAAACCCTTCATTATTTACCACTTTTTTTATCAAAGAAGCATATTTTTTCTATTAAAATTTTTATTTTTTTCAAATTCCTGGTGAAAGCTTTCAAACATCGTTGAAATAGCTAAAAAATATAATTTTATAAATTTATGGAATTTATTTAGGTGGTTTAAGCGAAAACGTTGCGTGCCGTCAAATGCCTATCCTGTGGAAATTTTCTTTCGAGCCTATTAAACAGAGAAGTAAAGGAGTTAATAACTCATCAGCGTTATTGTAAAATGGCAAATCGACGGGAAACGCATCGATCTCGGTGATCCATTAAATAACATTCAGTAAGATTAAAGGGATTTCAATGGTTATTTTAAATGCCATTCCACTTCAACAAGTAATTGCCCTTTTGCACTATAAAAATTTTTGCATATTTAAAAATTAAACATTTAATTTCTTAAAGTTTCATCGAACTGGAAAAATTTAAATGTCACCCTGCAACAATTTACAATTTAATGAAAATGGAAAAATGAGAAAAGAATAGATATGCGTTGGCTATAAATTATAATTTTAAATTATTTTTTCCTACTTTGTCGCATTACTTTATTACTTTTAATTATCATTATATTATTTTTACTTTATTTGTAATATTCGTAACGAAAATTGTAAATCGTTGTAAATAAATGAAAAACGACATCTTCTGCAGCAATTATGTTAATGGAAAATGTTTTAGAAAAAAAATTGCCATCGATATTTGTGAATATTTATTCGTAAAAATTTCGATCTTTTCATTTGAACTTTAATTGAATTTAATATATTAAAATATATATTCAAAATTTCGCTTCGAACTTGAATAGCAATTTTGAAAAGTTATGAAATTCAAAGTTTGTCAGAGCGAAATATTTTTTGCTAGCTGTTTCCCAACTTGTCGCTAATTTTAAACGTAATTCATTATTCATTATTTAATTGTAATTCTTTGTTATCAAATAAAATGTTTTCCTTAATTCTAATAAATTTTCGACGATTTATTGACGCTTTTATTGTTAAAATTACACAAAAAATAGGAAATCAGCAAAAAAAAGTGCGAAGTAAATGGAAAAATGATAATTTTTCATTAGAGCATAGCTAAAGGTTGCTTTTGAAAATCCGCAAAAATTGATTCGCCAGTTTGTTTCTGCAGCAGTATTTGCATATTACACATCGTTTGCTTCGCAATTATTATTATTTTACCTTTATTTGTGCGCAATTTATTTAATAGTTCCTTTTTTTCGAAAGATTTTCGGCACATTTTTATTGAAATGCTTTCAGAAATTGAAATGGATTATTCACGAGAGAATAAATGAGTCCCTGTAAAAGCTGACCGAGATAAGTTCCATGCATGGATTTTCTTCGAAATCGTGACGAAGTTTTTTTTTGAAATTTTAGGAAATAAAGAAATTTTTCTAAACTGAAAATAAAATTTAATTTTCTCAAGAATAAAAAAATATAATATTATAATCTTTTAAAAATTTTTAAATACAACTTATTTTAAGGGATATAATAGTAATTAATAATAAATTTGAAATGTATTATTGATTGCAATAACTTTTTAAAAAAAATTATCAGTAAATAATCCTTAAATAATCATTAATCATAATAATAATAAAATAATCATTTTTTAAAAATTATTATAAAATAAAAAATACTATTATTACAAATTATTACAAAAAATTATTGTAAAATACTGTCGGATTCTTAAAAAAAAAGAAAACGAACTCTTTCAACAATTTAATTGAAGAAAATCCATTAAGAATCGATGCTAATTAATTGATTTTAAAAAATTCGATTTGATCAACAATTTAACATTAAAGTCTGAAGTTCATTTAATATTTCTAATTTCTAAAATATTTCTAAAATTAATCTAAAATTTCTAAAATTAATATTAAAAAATAATTTTTCAACGAAATTAATGGACATGATTGTATCCACCTTCGCTCAACTACCCGCATTAATAATGTTATCAAAGAGAATCGCCTTCGCTGGCTAGGGCACGCTCTCCGTCGTCCACAGGAGTTGATGCATATTTCGTTGACGTTACTTGGTAAATGTGATAGATGGCGTCAAAAGCGAGGTGGGCCAATCAAGACCTGGACTGATATAGACAGGAAAGAAATTATTTAATATATTAAAATATATATTCAAATTTTGCTTCGAAATTTTGCTTTGAATGTATAGGAAGACCAGCGATATATGGACTTAGACAATGGAAAAAGGAATGGCTTCTATTGTTACTAGCGATGGCGTCGGATCGGGCAGCTTGAAGACGCCTTGTAGCCAGCGGAGTGAGCCTAACCAGCAATGGCGAAAGCTGTTATTAGAAGGAAGAAGTGTAATTTGATTGATGAATTTGAATCACCAAGAAATAATTGGTAGAATAATAAATAGTGCGAATATTTATATTATCAGTAATGCATCGAGAAATTTGGATAAACTGATAAAAATATACTACAATAAAATAAGAATCTGACATATCTCACAAAAGTTCGCGGTGAACTGTCCGTGTGATGCCAGCGACTCACCTTTACTTGTATCGCCAAGTGGCTCTCTGGCAAAAAATGCCTGGTCCGACGAATTAGCGGAGCGAGCCCAACCAGCAATGGGAAAAAATCGATCTTCACAAATATCTTTACGAAATAATATATAGCGAAACTTTATTTCGATTTTTGACGAAATATTAGGTTTTTTCGTTTTAGTGATTGTTGATCAATGATTAAATTTATCGTATCGCCTATGCCATTATTAATTAGTATAAAGCTTATCTTTTCTTCGGATTTACATGTCGAAAATAGACTGAAAACGAACTCAACCAAAGAATCCCAAACGAAGGCCTCAGAAATTTAATAATGCAGCTCGCCGTAAATAAGAGAATTTCCTCGAAGCTAACACTCATGCATCACTGTGCAGAAAAAATGTTCCGTCTTTTATGCTATCTTTTCTACTCAAATTCATCAGAAAAAATATGAAAATAAATGAAATAAATTTATCGATAAATTTAAAAATGAAATAAATTTTTTTAACTTTGTTTCATGCTGATTTTCACTTTATGAGCGCTCTTAACGAAGCCAAAAGGTTGGACGCCTCCGATTTATGGGTAAAAATTGCATATTTCCAAATCCTATTACCAGCTTTTGGTTCTTTCCCCTTTTTACCATAAAATATTTAATTTTATTCATATTTATTCATATTTAATTTAATCAATTAAGCAATTTGACAATTTAGCAAAAAGTGCTACTAAAAATGCTCAACAAATTTTAATAAATATCAATATTAATCGCAAAAAATAAATTTCACGCTAACAGTTGTGAATGGAAGGAATGAAATATTTCGATAATTTCCTCAATCAACATCGAATATTTTAATTTATTTTTTAACTTATTTAATTTACTTGAAAAATAAGGGAAAAGAAACTAAACAGCAAAAAAAAAAGAAAAGAAAAATCAACAAAAAGGGAAAAATTAGAAGAAAAAATATATACATAAAGCAAGTAGAAGCATTCTCCTTACAGTCCATTTCAACAACGTGTCTTCATCGTGAGCGGTTGTGCCATCACTGCGACTTTCGATTTCTTTATCAATTGCTGTGAAGTGTCTAAATTCCGCTCCTTTAATTTCTTTAACTATCCAATAATTTAAATCGTTTTTTTAGATGCTTCAAATAGTAATTAAATAACAAATAAAAGGAAAAAAATTAAGATTTTTGCTGAATTATTTTCAAAATAAAAAAATAAATTTCGGAGTTAAAATTTACAGCTAAACGGAGAAGAAGAATTGATATGGGAAGGATACCGATACAAGAATTGAAGGCTTTGAAGGCTTCTGCCTCAGTTAAATTGGTAGATTTCCTGAGTCCGGGAAAACTGCAGACAATATAATGATTCGAACAAGGTCTAATGAAAATTTTTCTGCCGAGGTTCTCACCAAGTCAGAAAAAGGCTGCCCACATAAACTGCAGGAAGATCGAAACAACCTTAACGGAACCTATCAATATTATTGTGATAATCTGAATTCCAACGCAATGGACCGCCTCGAGGGAAAATCTGCTAGTCGCTGCATGAGGGACATTTTGCACTGAGAAACCGTCGCTGCGCGCTTCGCAAAAAATTTCCAGCGTTCACAGAATGAACAATTCTTATAAAAAGTGCTACCATTAACACGACGTTCTCTACAGCCACGTTTCGCTTATCACTGCAAAAGCCGACAGATGAGCACACGATTCCTCGAAACTTCCCCTTTAAGTGACAAGTCTGAATGTTAAATAAGTCTAAAATGCAGCCCAATCGACAAATATTTCACTGTGTTTTCTGTTTGCGGCATTTTCAATTGAAGCTGGCAAATAGTATTCCCTGGTTTTTAGGTGCGTTACAAATTAGGATTGGCTTAATTGCAAGTCGAATCTTTTGGTTATATTTATGTGCAAATTTGTTTAATTTGGAAAAATAGCTTTAAATTCTCAGCCTAAATCGGGGAATATTTCATATTTGACCGAGTTTGGATCGCTTTTTCGAATATTTGCAAATTTAGGATTTCTTTTTTTAAAATTTTTTGAAAAGAATTTTCGTTGTTGAATGAGTTGTGAAATAATTTTGTATTAATTATAAAATTCGTCTTCGAATTTGGAGAAGCGAAGAAAACAGAATTTCTTAGCGAATTTAAATTCTGCAAATTCTAAGCTGAATTAAAGTCACCGCTTGTAATGGAAAAACTGCTACATTTTTAGTTTCTTGTTAGTTTGCTTGTTGGGAGAAAGTATTTCGAAGAGGAGAAATGGCGGAGCGTGGAGGTTTTCGCGGTGGTTTCGGTTCGGGCGGCGGTGATCGAGGAGGAGCAGGTGCCCTCTTCATTTTGTTTCTCTTAAATATTTGAGGAAAAAAATTTTGAAATGAGAATTCAGTTTCCTTTTATGATTGTTTATTTTTTTGTTTTTGCCTTTTTTTCTTAATTTATGAAATCATCTTTGGCACTTTTCGCTCATATAGGTAGCATTTATATAATTTATACGAAAATAGTAGAGAAAACGGAGACACAAAGTACAAATTGTTTAATTTGGATAAGTAGTTTTAAATTTTAAGCTTAAGTCGGGAAATATTTTATATTTTACCGAGTTTGGATTCGGAAGAAGATTGCACAGTTATAAGTAATAGGTGAATAGAGCAAAAATTTCTGAGGAAATAATAAAGAAAAAAGCCAATTATATGAAAGAGGAAAGAAGAAACAATGTTCAAAGATATCAGATTTCATGCTTAGTTAACCACTTTGTCTTTTGTCAAAAATTTATTTCGAAAATTTATGTTAAGGCCGCGGTGGTCGTGGCAGTGGAGGTGAACGCGGTGGTCGTGGTCGTGGTGGCCGTGGAAGAGGTCGCGGTGCAAGGTTCCTTTTTAGCTTTATTTTGTCTCGATTCTTTCAAAAAATCAGCTGAATATAGGTGATTAAAAATTTTTTTGTTCTCCATAATTCTAATTCGTTAATTATTTGATTTGATGGTCTTTTGCTATATAAATTTGATATTCTTAAAACATTTGAATGTTCCATCATTTGTAGATCTGGCAAAGAAAATGAAAGTAGTTGGACTCCAGTAACTAAACTTGGGCGATTAGTAAAAGAAAGGAAAATCACGTCTCTTGAAGAAATATATCTTAATTCGCTTCCAATTAAAGTGATTCAAATTTTTTTTGATTTTTTGCAACTTTTTTCTTTTTTCTAGTGATTCTTAGCCTCTCCTTGTTTTATTCCATTTCTTGCAAATTATTGACATTCATCTGATATTTTGAGCAAAATGGCTTTATTAATGTTTATCAACGTTTATTTTTCGAATGTAAATATTATTTATTTTATCACTGATATAGAAGGTACGATGGTTGAATTCTATAAATGCTTTGATTAAGCATCATAGGTTCAGTTATTGATCCCTTGTCCTTTGCTTGAACTTGACGTCCAGCCCACGCACTGTTGAAGATGTATTATTATTTCTCTCTGGCGAAAGTATTGTCCCATAGTAATAAAAAGTGGTGCATAGAAATAGTTAAATTATTTTGTTTCAATTTTTTAGGAATTCGAAATCATCGACACTCTTCTTTTTAATCTGAAAGACGAAGTATTAAAAATAATGCCTGTGCAAAAGCAAACACGTGCAGGACAAAGGACTCGTTTTAAGGTAAATTCCTTATTTTCATATTTTGTTTAATTTGCTGGTGGTATAATTTTATTTTATTCGTCGATTACAATGTGTTTTAAAAAAATTTTAGGAACAAAATTTTTATTTAGGCATTCGTTGCTATCGGTGATCACAATGGCCACGTTGGACTTGGTGTAAAATGCTCAAAAGAAGTAGCAACAGCTATTCGCGGTGCTATCGTTGTAGCAAAACTTTCAGTTATCCCTGTTAGAAGAGGATATTGGGGAAATAAAATCGGACAACCACATACCGTACCTTGCAAGGTTTCTTCGCATTTATATTAATCAAATTTTTTCATAATTTATTTTCTTTTCTTCCCTAAGTGGATTTAAAAAATTTTTTTTAAAATTTGTAGGTGACCGGGAAATGTGGGTCCGTCCTTGTGCGATTAATTCCGGCTCCTCGGGGAACTGGTATTGTATCTGCTCCTGTGCCCAAAAAACTTCTTCAGATGGCCGGCGTTGAAGATTGTTATACATCTGCTGTCGGTCAGACGGCCACTCTTGGAAATTTTGCCAAGGTTATTTTTTATTATATAAGCAGCAAAAGTTTTCTATTTCTGTAAGTGAAATGTTATTTTAAAAAATATTTTAGGCAACATATGCAGCGATTCAACGTACGTATTCATATTTAACTCCTGATTTATGGAAAGAACATTCGCTCGAAAAAACGCCTTATCAACGCCACTGGGATTACTTGGCTGCAAGTGTTAAAAATTAAATCCTTTTGTTAATTTACGTTTGTATTTGTTTTTAACGATACGGAAATTGTTTATTTTGGTATGAAAGTATCAACATTATGTTGATTGTCGGAATATCTTACAGAGTGAAAAGTAAATCATTAAAAGTAACAATTGAAAGACAAAGAGGGGTTTGTTATATTGGTTTTTGTTTTTTTTTCCAATGGTATTAGGAAAAACTTTCTGAAGGAAAACCAAATAGTTTAATGGTGGAAAAAAGTTTTGCTTTTATATACCAGTTAAATGGTTTGGTGTTGTTGATTTTAGTTCATATAGTTCATCAGTTCGTTTAGTCCATGATCAATAGCTCTGACTGCCTAAAGAAATACATATCATGTAAGAGATAGGTAGAAATAAGTAGAAACGATAGTATATTTGAGATAAAATTGGATTTTTTAGATTTATTTTAAGAATTAAAAATTTTCGAAATTAGCATAATATTATATTATAGATTAAATATTAAATATTGCAACATTTAAGGTACTTTTCTTGCCTAAAGGAAAACTGGAGTTTGATCATTCGAAAATTTTTATAACCTCATACAGATCCGATTCAGTGAAGCACATTGGCGGCTTTATTTTAAGCACATTTGAATATGGACCATCAGCACTAATCAAAATTCCATATTTATTTCTGAGCAGGTCAGTAAGCGTATTAGCGAGATGTTTGTCTGGAGTTCGGTTTTCTTTATCTTTAACCAGGTCTATTCCCCAAAACATTCCAATTCCACTAAATCAAGTAGAATAGCATTCGGTAAATGAACTATCTAGTTCAATATTTCTCAGTGACTTTCTAGTCTATCTAGAAAATTGGGAATTTTTCTCTAAAATATAGAAACCAACCGCACATCTCCTATACATTTATGTTTGTTTTTGAGTTTGTTCAGTTCTGAATTGAAAATTTTTCCCATTTGTTGTGAATGATTCAAAAGATCATCCGTTTTAAGAACGCTGAGAACAGCAAGTACCGCCGCACAAGCAACTGGATTACCACCGTACTTAAATTGAATCAATATAAGTTCGTCTATTCAAGCAAATTGACTGTGCAATTTCATTTTTTAAAAATTTCTGATGAACCTTAGCGAGGTTTTAATTATTTTCCAGGTCTAAATAAGGCGTAAAAGTATTATCAAAACAAAAAATTACCTTCCGCAGTGTCGATAGCGTTGTGCTATAAACTGCTAAATTAATTTTCAGCTGCATTTTTTAGTGAAAGTGCCGCACAATAACAGTTAGGATAAGTCGAACAAGAAGTAAACGTGACTTAAATAGTGAGTTAAAGGAAATTCATGTTCCTTGGACACTATTGCACGTATTGAGACTTCCTTGGAAATTTTTATACAATGTTTGCCAAATGGATTGCAAAAATGCAAAAAAATCGTGGACGACGCTCGTAACGCTCAGTGCGTAATGCTCAGATTCTCTTATTGCTCTTGTCGGGTTTGAATGTCCATATAATTCAGGATAGAGGAGATTGAATTTTAACATGAATTGAGGCAATAATTAATGCAAAATCTGTACATATTAAAATTTTACAGTGTTGAAATATCCAACGTTTCCTCCTAATGAATCAGCGATTTCTTTACGAGTTGCTACGGCAGCAACAGGATATCCATTACCGATTGATTTGCCCATTGTGATAATATCAGCAGTGAATTCTAAATTTTGAAATTTATAATTGAGAAATTTCGATTTTGAAAATTTTGTCTTTTGATTTCTGAATAGAAAATAGATCGTATTTCGATATTACTAAAATTTAGTCTCGGATTTCTATTTTTCTAAAATTTTGGAATCTCGGCCATTCGTCATATTTTCATTTTGGCGCGTTTGAAAAAATGTGCCTTTATGGATGTGATGAGCCCAAAATGCATCTCCAACCCGTCCAAATCCGGTTTGAACTTCATCTATTACCATTAATGCGCCATTTTCATGAACATAACTAAAAAGGTTTAATTTTTTAAAAAGTCAACCGAAAAAGAAAAATTGTGAAGCAAATTAACCTTAATAATAAATAACGGATTGATTCTACCGCATCATTGTGCGGACTCCGCAGGATACCATATTCCTATACTTGAAACCTCTTAAACCCAAATCTCCCCTTTTTTACAATTTTTTACTTTGAAATAAAACCTAATATAAACCCAGTACTCTTTCTTCAAAGCGCAGGTAAATTCCTATGGAACCTCGATAAACGCTTCTCTTGGGCGTTGTTATAGTCCTTTGATAAGTTTTTCAGAACCAATTATGGCCCGCCATACCTTCAAAATTCTCTTCATCCTATTTAACATTGCATTAAGTCGCACGATATATCCATTTTTTCAAATCTTCATGTTAATCTCGTAGTGCCAGTATAATGGGAGTGCCAAAATCTTTTTATAAGAAGAAATTAGAAGATTTAAAGTCCATCATATCATTTTTTCGACTTAATTTAATCTCTAATAACCTCTTTCCATCGTTTTAATTTTCCCAAACTCAGCATTTTTGGATCACTCAACCTTATTTTTTCCTCAATGTCCCATGCACTGCTACCATAGCAGTCACAAATTAAATATTTGCAATGGAAACCATAATTGCAATTGCTTTTTTGTGACAATATTTTCTAAAAAACTCGTTGCATTAAATGCTCACTGTGTTTCATTAGCACCATTAAATTTGTGGCTGCTGAGAGGGGACTGTAGCGACAAACTTTTTTTAAAGAGCACACACCATGAGTGGTTAGACTCACAACTACTAATATTGTTACGATTAAACTCGACACCAACAGATTATTTCTGTTGATTATTAATTTATGCGGGTGTAAACCATACTAATAAATATTAATAAACTAAACGAAACCTCGCAACTTCGGCAAAATAATTATTTGGTGGAACAATTTGTCCTCCACATGACTGCAAAGCTTCTGCGAAAAATGCAGCTATCGTTCGGTTGCTTTTTTTATTCTAAATATTTTCGCGAATATGCCAATTCGTCCTCGAAATTTTGTTTACAACTCGTCATAATCGAGAATTGGAATGGAGTAAACAATTTTACTGGAAGACGAGAAGAAAATAGAATTCGATGAACTTACTTGTTCGAGAATGTGCTGAACGTCTTTTGCGTACAAATTGCCTGCATTTTTAATGCAATCCTCATCATGAAGCTCATTATCAGATAATCTATATCTGCCGCGAAACACATCGGGACATGGAGCCTTTAATGCTTTTCTTTGACTTACGAATTGTTTGATCAGCTCACAGCAGTCTTTCAGAATAAATAAATAATTTTAGTTGCTATAAAAACCAAAAAACGAAGCGATTATGAACTGAGACACTTACGACGTGAACCCAATTTGGCTGTTTTATTGTGCATCCGTGATTGAATTTATAAGGACTTAGCTGCATCGTTGTTGTCACTGTGCCGTGGTATGCACTAATTTTAAAATTATATAAAATAGTAAATTTTAAAAATTACGATTTAAAATATTTCGACCCTCATTATATTATAATATTTTTATAATATTGTAAATAATTTATTATTAAAATTTCGCACAAACTCACTGGTCAAGAACAATCGCATCGTTGTGCTTTGTGAAATCCCGCGCTAATCGTAAAGCTAAATCGTTGGCTTCTGATCTAAAATAAAAAATTTATAATTAAAGGAAATTTTTAAAAATATATGAAATTAAAAGTGGTGTCGAAATTTCAGAAGCTGATTTAGGTTGATCAATTAAGCGAAAAATGAAATGAAATTCTATGAGTGAAATCAACGAGCAGTTTTATTCGTGAATATTTGCATGCCATACCCGGAATTGCAAAATAAAATCGTATCGAAGCCAGGAAGAGTCTTCAAAATTTCTTGCGCACATTCTACCAGTTTTGTGCTCACAAAACGTGAATTACAAGTTGATTGTAACAGTTGTTTTGCGATCGAGTCAACAACAATTTTATTGCAATGACCAACTTCAAGATTCTTTCAGATTTTTTTGCAAATTTCGAAAAATTTTTATTAATTTTATTATTGTGTTTTTGGAGCTTTCTAAATTTCGTGTATGCAGTGAAAAGTGAAATTCATCCTTAAATGTACTCCAAACAAACTTAAATCCATAAAAACAATCATTTAAAGAAAAGTTAATAAAATATTTTACCATGTTGAACATTATTTATACAGTCGATATATTTACGTTGGTTTTCATCATATAAATATTGCATTTCAGCTTTTATCACTAAGAAAGGATTGCTTTTGAAAAATAGCTGACATTTACTTCTGAAGATTTCAATTTTGATTTGGCGAATCGAATTTGATAAATTTATTGGTAAAGACAAAATGGCAAAATTAAATAATTAATAATTGGTGAATGAGATTCGTCATATGAGCTTATAACACAGTTTATTTATGAAGAAGAGGAGTTCTGCAAAGATATATTTTATAAGATATTTTTGAGAAATCACGAGAATACAAACTGATACTCAAAAAGTTCTACACTCTTCTTTTTCTAACAGTTCTCGCCACTGCGTGTTAGACCGACTTCCTGGCTACCAGTGTAAAACACTGCATACCGTTTGATCCGACGCTGTAGCTAAAAATAGAAATATATTTTTCTCCGTCTTTTAATTCGCTGGTCCCACATTCGTTCAAAATCTTTGCTGACTGTATCAATCCGGATCTTGATTGACTCTCCTCGCTTTTGATGCCAACCGTCACAAGATTCAGCAAGTAGCGAAATATGCGTCAACTCCTGTGGGTGAACGAGGGAAAACGTGCCTTAATCAGCGAAGGCGACACTGTGATAACATTATTAATGCGGGTTATTTGACTGAAGGTAGATATAATATTATGTGATTTTGTCTGCTCAACAAAAAATATTAGATATTAGACATAAGTGGTCAAAGGCTGGTAGTTTCTTAATTTTTTCCATTGTCATTGGCCATATAGCAAGATCGATCGAACTATAGCTATATGTACGCGAATTTTCGTGTTATGGCAATTTCGCGACGGTTCCATAAAGATTTCCTCAACCATCTTGAGTGTTGTGAAGGCTAAACAGTTTCTTATTATCACCTAACCTGACAGCCGTTTCCATTCTTAAGGCCATACCGCTCCAATAGCGATTTCTGTCACACCATGCTGTTGTAATTCGAAACACCCAACAGTCAGGATCTTCTGACATTCGGATTTTGCCAGCTTTTTCAGTTTTTCAGTTACTTGGAGGGTTGCTTCCGATACTCAGCTAGTACTATTATACACTAGTATGGAAGTGGTTGATTTTTATAAATCTTTAATTGGGACCAGTATTCATCCACCGTTCCACAGATGTTAACCTTCATTTCACACTTCTTTTCCATTACGACGAATTCGGTAAATGTTGCAATAAAATGGTTTGAAATGCATTTATTATTATTATTCCCGGATTTTTTAATTTGAGATAGTTTAAAGATCTTGGAATACATTGTTTTTTACGATGCCATATTTGCCAATTACCGAATTCATCGTAACGGCATCAAGGCCGATGCCGTTTTCCAGTCTCCCCCGATTATGACCTCTCGATAGAGATATTGCTAATAGTTGATGCCCTACATAGAATTTATCCTTATCACGGTCATCTGCGCATAAAGTTGAAACATATACATTAATGACAGAAATATTGCAGAACTTTCCTTTGAAACACAAGTAGGCCATTCGATCATTTAATGGCTTCCACTTAATCAGAGCGGATCGGGCCTTTTCAGAAATGATAATCGCTATGCCATTTCGCCCCAAGTTATCCGAGACACCACAGCGATATAGCCAATATCCTTTGCTCGTAACCAGGTTTGTAATTAAACCTGGTTACTCGAGAGCCGATATGAGAAAGACGGACTTCCGACAAATAAGCCACATCCACGTTGTATTTAAAAAGGATCGCTTGGCTTGCAATGGCTAAGCGTTCTGACGTTCTAAGCAGATATAGCCAGCACCTCGCCACGAAATGATAATATTGATATGAATAGAAAAATTGATAAACGTGTTTAAAATTAACATTAATATAGTTTTAATCGTATAATGAGGATTTACTTATTATGACCAAATTAATTTATATATAAAATCATTTACATATCGTTAAATCATCGAAAAATTCTACACAAAAAAGTGCTAATGAAACAAACAAACCCAATCAACTTTTTTCGTTTTTCTAATAAATCATATTTGCTAAATTTATTATTTACTGATGAATTTAGTATCATTCTTGTTGTGAATCGGTCATTTAATAAAGAATTCATTCTCTAAAATTTATTTATTTTGTAATATTTCATCGCATTTTAATTAAAGAAGCCATGTCAGCTCGAATTCCGCTCGGAGATAAGATTATAAGATTATCCGCGTCAGATACTGGAGTACCAGGATAACCTGACAGTAGGCAGGTTGCTAAAACAAAAGAAAAAATAAGAATATAGAAAGAAAAACAAGGAACGAAATTAGGGATAAAAGTAAGGTTAATGTAAGCAAAAGTATTAAAGTTATAAAAGCAACTTTTAATGATATTTTTTTCATTTTTATAATGAAATATGAATTTCATAATTATCATAATTATCATTTATTTCACAATTAAAACAAAAAATTTTTTCTATCAATTCGAAGTCTCAATATATTGGTATGGCAAATGCCGTCGAAAATTTTCAACGATATCATATTTTTATATTATCGCCATTATCACTGTTACACTTAAATTTATCACTTAAGCTTATCACGGAACATCCGGGCTTCTTTGTTTTAATCTTTACTAAATTTTAATTAAATTAATTAATTTTAATTAATTTATAAGATTCTGGCGAATGATTCAATATATTATTAACTTTACTTTCGGCATTTTATTATTTTACAAAAAATCATTAAACAGAATCGTTTTCTATTCTAAAAAAAATAATTTAAAATAATTTAAAAAATAGCAGAAATTTCAAAAAAGAAAAACGAGGAAGGAATCGACAAACAAATAATAAGAATTGCTATGTCGCACATAATAAACGAAGTCAAAAAAAGATTAACCAGGCTGTAATAAGAATTTTTCACACTTCACAGGGCAGATACACCCCTTTAATAACTTCGCGCAGCAGCACTTATTTGTTTCAGCGAATTTTTTTAGAAACCTCTTTCCGATTTTCTTTAAATTACCCACTAAATTTCACAGGTAAATCGTCAAAGAACTATTTGATTTTGAAAATATTTATACCAAATTTAGAAAATCTTTAAAAAATCTTTGGAGTTCATGAAAAACCTGTTTTCTTTCGTTTTCTGCGACAGAAGATTATTTTTATCAGTAAAATGAAATTCATAAACGAGCATAAATCTTATAGTAAATGATATTTATTAATATTAATTAATAATATTTAAAATACATTTCATAACAAGAAAAATACATTGGCAAAATTTGGCGACACAACAAAAATACAGTCTTTCTTATTTTTTAGAGTGAAATGATAAAGGGCGGTAAAATGACGTGGTAAAGTTAAACACTGAACTGTTTATCAGTATTTAGCAATCATTAAAGTATTAATGTAAAACAAGAAATGAATGCTATCAGAAGAATTTACGAATACTGTTGCTCTATGATGACACTGCGCATTTATTCTACAAATTTATCACATCAAAATGATTTTCAAAGAAATATTACAGTATAATCGATTTGATTTATCATGACTAAACTAACATATTTTATCGACAACATATAATCAATTTGAATCTTTAGTATAAACGCTATAATCAAAATTATATGATTAATGCAAATCAAATTAGAGTTTAACGATGCAATAAAATGAAATTTTATTGAAATTAATTTTACCTAAGAAAATTCCGTTTCTCACCTCTGTGGTTGGTGAGGGTCGTCCTCAACTCTACCAGAGGCCTGAGAGATTAATAAATGTATATAAATGTATATAACGAAATATAACCTACAGAATATAACTGAGAATGGCTAAAATTTCCTATTTTTCATGCAATGGAATTTCAAGCGAATATCGCAAATGAAACTATGTCTAATTAAATTCCAGTGTAAAAATCACGGTATATTTAATGTCATAGCAAATAGACTGTTGTACTATTGTTACTAATTCGACATCACTTAGCAACAATCAGCATTTTTTTTGGCTTGGCTGGCTCCATTGATTATTAAAAGTAGCATCCTTTTATCAGAAAGTCAACTGGGAATAGGACTACAGATAGGTCTCAAGTACATCTGTATTTCAACTTTCGAAGAATAGTGAGAATCATGATAGCAATCCCATATTATTATCCTGGCCCAAAGGCTATCTTTTTAGAGAGTTTTACTGACCTTAAGATTCTGGAAATCACAGATTATTTTCTGTTCTACTGGCGGTTCGCAGTTTAAATATATGGTTCGGTGAACAAATCAGCTATGTCCGAGATAACAGACGGTGGTTAAATTTGGATTTAAAGAATTCTTTCCATCTTATGAAGAGATCCTAAATAGCCTTAACAGATAATATTGAGTTACTTGAGTATTGAGTTATCATTTCACTAACTATTCCACGAATTTTATGAATAAGGCGGAATAGTATAATAATAGTTTGATACTATCGCCTAACCGCCTCCATTCTTACCATATTCCTCCAATAGTAGCGATTTTTCTTCAGATATCGTTGCTATCGTTGAAGTCCTTCGAAACATCCGGAATCTCCAGTCAAGAACTCCTGGTGCTTAAACTTTGGAAGCCTTTTCGAACAGTTAGAGAGTTTTCGATGTCCAACTAGGGCATTTCCTACTAGTATATTCTAGTATGAAAATGGCTGAATTTCGAGATATCCCTATTAGTTGGGATGTGTATTCATTTGTAGTTTCAGAGATGTCATTTTTTCTGATATTCATTCCACTGAAGCACTCTAATAATTCGGCTTGAAGTGCGCTCAATGTTCCCGAATCTTTTAGTTCGAGATAGTTGAAAGAACTTGGGACGTCTTGAGAGTTTTCTGCGAATTGCCAGTTTTATGTGTGAATCGAAATGTGCGAATCTTGGCTCGAACTATGAGATTCTGTCTGAATTATCTGAATTATGAAGATAGTCTGAATTATGAAGATTACCAGTTTCATCCTCAAAGGAACGACTCCATAATACAGAGTCCTTTTAACGGCGATTAAGGTATAGTCGATCTGGTTACAATGTTGGTTAGCCGGAGAGTTCCACGTGAATAAATGTCTTCTCCGATGCCAAAAGCATATTAGAAATAAAAATTTCATGTTCTTCGGCGAAAACGTTTCACATTGGCGCACCAGATCACGGTGCATATCTGCCAATTACCGAGTATATGGTGCCATCATGTCTTCTAGTCTCCGCTCATTATTAATATGTCATATTTCGAAAGAAATGTTGCTAGAATTAAGCTGAATTTACGTCAGAACGCTTATGGACGTTGCAAGTCAAGTGATGACTATCCACAGTCTTTCGAAATATCGTGCAGATATCGCCTGCCGTCTTCCTCATTCCTCATTTTTAGTTTCGAATAATTATTAATCCTGGCTCGGAGCAAGGGTAGTGGCTATAACACTGTGGTGCTTCGGATAACTCAGGCTGAAATGGCGATTGTCATCTGACAAGGCCCATTCCGCTTTGATTGAGTGGAAACCGGTAAGCGACCGTATGGTCTACGCCCGTTTTAAAGGTAAATTCTGCAATATCTCGGTCATCAGTGTCTCCAACTCTGTCAGTAAATAACCGTAATAAAGATAAGTTCTATGCAGAACTTCAATTGCTAACAAAGTCTTTAACGAACACAACATGGTCATAATCGGGGCAGATTTGAATGCGAGCGTAGGTCATTATATCGCTGCGATGACCTCGGCAATTGGTAAATATAGCATCAAAGACCGGTGTGCCAAAAGGGAATGCCTTCTTCGTTATACCGAAAAGGATGAACGTTTTGTTACTAATAACGATTGCTTTCGGCATCGTAGAAAGCATCAATTCCCCGTGGAATTCCCCGAATAACCAACACTCCAACCAGATTGATTATATTGTAGTTAGCCACCGTTTGAAAAATTCCATACTAGAGTCATTCCCATCGCCGTACTGAAATAGCAACTAATAGCAATCTTCATGGAGAATCTGAGCATGTTATGTTATGAGCCAAGATCTGTGCAAAATGACAACTCGCGAGAAACAACGTCCCCAAGGTCTTTCAACTATCTCGAACTAAAAGATTCGGGAACATTGAGCGCATTTCAAATTAATGAAACATCTCAGTGGTATAAATATCGATGATTTTTCCGGAACGGCAAATGAATAATGGTCCCAACTAAAGGAATGTTTCCGAAAATCAGCCACTTTCACGTTAGCATACTAATGTGAAATGCGCTAGTTGGGTATCGGAAACAACTGTCCAACTGTCTGAAAAAGTTGCCAAAACACGAATGTGATCCTGACTACCCAATGCTTCAAAGATTTGCCAACGAAAGCGGCACGACGGGAAAGAAATCACTATTGGATCGACATGGCCTTGAAAATGGAGATGGCGGCTCGATTAGGCGATAATAGGAAACTATTCCGCCTTTTTGTAAAGCAATTATAAACCGAGAAAGGGTAAAATGGTAAGGGACAGGAATGGTGTGCCTGTCAAGAGTATTAAGGATCGCCTCATAATATGGGTTCTTTGAATATGAATTCTTTGAGGCCAAACTTAAACATCTGCCCCGGATATAGCTGATAAGTTCGTTAAACCATAATTACAATTGTCAAAAGAAAAAATAATCTTGTTATCCATAAGCTTAAGGCCAATAAATTTCCAGAGAAGATCGTCTTCGGGCTGAGCTTTTCAAATGCTGTCCATCGTCCTTTATAACGCACCTTCAATAAATGTACTCTTTAGTATGGAAAAAAGAAATATTACCAGATGACTGGGGCGAAGCAATTCTGCTCCCAATTTCCAAGAAAGGTGACAGGACACAATTGCGACAATTATCGAGGAATCAGCCTACTATACGTCTCAAAAAAGATTTTTGCTTCCCTTATACTCAACAAACTTATTGAAGGACGAGATAGCAGGATGCGTCCTAATCAGGCTGGATTCAGACCGAGGCGTGGTTGTGCTGACCAGATATTCACATTAAAAATGGTGTTAAAGCATCGCTTCAAATATTTGCAACCCACCGTCACGTGTTTTCATCGACTTTGCGGCTGCCCTCAATTCAATTGATAGAACAGCACTTTGGAGAGAGATGGAATGTGACAATGTTCCAGAGAAAATCATTCGAGATCATCACTCATAAAAGCATTTTATCAGCACACCCTGGCGCAGGTCTGTGTGTATGGGGAACTGACAGACTCCTTTGAAATAAGAACTGGTGTTCATCAATGTTGTGTCCTTTCCTCTGCAATATTCAACTATGCGGATAATGGACACCGCTTGTCAGCACTAAAAAGGTGTACAAATCAGCCCAGATCATCGTATCACAGATCTTGAATACGCTGATGACGTAGTCCTTTTTACTGACAGTTATGGCGAAATGCAAATAATAATAAACAACATGACAGCAACGAGAATCGGACTCAGAATCAATGTAAATAAAACGAAAGCCTTTTCGTTTTTATTATTATGGTACAAGAAGCTGATAAAATGCCTTTTTTTATAAATTCATTGCCGGTTGAAGAAATGCCCGATTTTACCTTGGTTCCACTCGATTACCAAATGGTCAGGCAAAAGATGATATGAACTCGGATCACTGCAGCTAGAAATGCTTTTTTCCGGTTGACGAAGCCTTTTCGTCGTGAAAGCATCATGAAAACGAAAGACCACATCTATATAGCCGCGATTCATTCAATCTTGCTTTATAGCTGCGAGACATGACCAATGAAAGTGGAGGATATTAAGAAATTATGCCTTTGACCAATCATGTATATCTAGGATACATTTTATGGGTTCGCCGAGTGGATAAAATATGATCGCATCCATCTTCATTCAAATACCGCTTGCATTAATAATCATCGCCTTCGCTGATTAGGGCATGTTCTCCGTCATCCACCAAAGAAGTTGGAAGTTTTTCGCACATATTTCACACAACTTGTTAAACCCTGTGTTGGGTGATATCAAAACTGAGGTAGGCCAATCAAGACCTGGACTGATACGGACAGAAAAGATTTTAACATATAGGTGGACGGCAATATATGGACTTAGAAGATGGAAAAAGGAATAGCTTCTATTACTGTCGACGATGGCATCAGACCTCGCCAGTCTAATCATTAATGCTGTGGTGAATCGACCATAAGAAAAAATCATATAAAAAAAAATTATCATTATCAGTCGCGTAATCAACACAAAATAATAAACAAACACGAGTTTAAATACGATAGGTATAACAAAAAATTGGTTGAGAGTGGAAGCGTCTCCAGTGGTGTTGGTTAATTAATATACTAATCTCATGAAATTATTAATAGTCAATTTGGTTAGTTGTTAAGATGGCGACCTTTGCATTGCCCTATCTTTCAACTAATTTTCATCTTCTTGCATGTTGATTGATTTTTTCTTGATTTTGAAGTATAACTGCACGATAAACACTTGTCCATTAATTTTGATTAACATTCATCATTACTGGATGACTCGCTTAACTGGCTTGTTGGACTAGAGAAATAGAGAAATATGCCTGGCGATAATATTTGGACTCTACTTGTCATTATCACAAGCTGTTTCGATGTGCAATTCAGCATAAAACTGGTTCAAAAATCCTGCACATAAAAGATAATTCTATTAAACAATAATCCCGCAATATTCGTCCGCATGGCATGCAATTTCTTAAATCAAGTCTAGTCTAATCAGACTGGACATATACGAGAAGCTCTTCAACAATGCGCCTTCGTTACATACTACCTTAGACTAATCTGATGTCTTTCGTCTCATTTACACCTAGCCAACTGCAAAAAATTTCGCCCTATGAGACTACGAAAGACGGGAAATCTATTTTTTCGCACTTATCATTTATGGAAAAGTAAAATAAAACTCTTTCACTCGACCATTCCCTCAAAGCAGTCCTAAGAAGGAATGAATGAACTGGATAATGCCGAGAAAGAATTGAACAATACCGAAAACAGATGCACGAAATTGTCAAATGACGAGGTATAAATCTTGTTTACTGTTATTATAATTCATTATGGAAGAGTTTCAATAAAACGTCGGTTCTCAAAAAAATCTCTCCCTATTCAAATAACAATTATTAAAATATTAAGATTGACAAACGCACGACATCTAATTAGGTCCTATATCTCTGCTGACCTGCCTTCTAAGCCCTGTCTGCCCCCCCCCCCCCAGTGACTAACCCCCACACAACAAAACGACCACGATCAACTGCCCAGAGCCACCGAAAATATCACTTGGAAATTTGAAAATACGCCTCTAACACTCGGCCGAAAAACATTTCGGCAGCCGTTTCAACTACATTAAATTATCTGTTGATTTTTTCTTTATTCCTTTATTTTTCTAATTTGATTCAGTGTGTTTGCATTTGAAAAGGGTGGTTTAGAAAGCGATTTCATATCGCTTCAGAATTCTGAGAAAAAAAAATAGTAATCGGGTAATAATTGTAGACTATTTGTTATTTTATTATTCATTTTTTTAAAAGTGTTGTTCGCCATTACTGTTTAGACTCGCCGGCTTCTCGCACTGGAAAATATGCCAGGGAGTGCGTCGGCGAGAGAAGTGTCGGTGAGTCGCCGGCACCACCACCACCTGGGTTCCAGGTTCTAGGACAGGTTTACTGCTGCGGGGAGAACGTCGGCACCGGCGGCTTGAACTGAGCAACAGCCAACTGAGCCATTGAGCCATTCTATTCTCCGTTGCTTTCTCCGTTAGGCGACTTTGCCGCATATATATTATTATATATTATATTGCAAATATATTATTTATATTTATTATTACATTATTATTATTTCCTCCAAAAATATTACCATTTTTGCTTCACTTTGCTTAATTTGTTATGAAATTCTTTCAATGGTCTATCGATCAAGAAATGGATGAAATACTTGCAGCTTGAAAGTATTTGAGTTTACTTCATCGAAGATTCTTTCATAGGATAAAAATGGATGGGATCAGTTATCGTGCGGTTGTGTTCAATGCGGCACGTTCGGGTAATGTAAAGCGTTTACAAGTATTCTTAGAAGGCCGAGACAACGAATGGCTGCAAGAATGTTTATCCTGTAGCGAAGGTAATACGCCACCAATCGTTATTGCTTCGAAAAATGGTCATCTTGAAGTTGTTAAATATCTCGTTGGTTTTTATTTTTAATTATTTTTTACTTATTTTAATTTTTCATAATTTATAATTTTAATGAATTTTATTTGATTTATTGAAATATTTTCTTTGAATATTTCAGCAGTTTATACAAAATTTTTTATTATTTCGATATTAAAATCAGTTTTTTGAAATTCCCTCTAAAATTTTATTTATATTTCATTTAAAATTTGTTTTTCCTTATCTTTTTTAATTTTCGTTCATCCTCTTCATTTACTTATCATAAATTTTCATTTTTTATTCATTTATCATAAGTTAAAATTTCAAAATTGATTTATTTATCATTCATAATATTCACAACCCATAATTAAAGCTTTTTTTTATTTATTAATTGTAATTTTAGATAAGCATCGGTGCAAACGTTTTTTTAAAAGGAGTTGTGTCGTTTGATGGTGAAATAATCAGTAAGTAATGATTTATATTTATTACATTATATAGAAAATATATGTATTATATTTACTAAATTCATTTGCACTTGCTTTTATATTTTTTATCATTGTTAGTCATTGTTCAATGAATCATTGTTCTCTTAACTTTATTTATTTATGTTTTTTCTTTCATTTTTTTTTAAATTAAGGTTATTATTAATTATTAACAGTACAGTACAATTGTATAACAGTAGTATAATAACATAGCTTTAACTACGGTTAAAATAAAATAAAATAAAATCCCATTTTAGGAGTGTGGGCTGAATTTGTGGAATAGAGGGTGCTAATTAACGAGGATTAGGAAGAATTTTGATTGATCCTGGCAGGCTTTGAAGGATGGAAAATTGATCTTTTTCCGAGAACATATGCATTTTTACGTTACTTTGGATTTGAAAAAAAAAACATTCGGTAGATTGGAAAGTATTATGCGGAAAAGTATTATGCTCTACCTGAATTCCTTTAATATAGTTAATATTCTAGCTGGTGCACCAGCTCTATGGGCAGCTTCTGCAGCTGGCCATTATGATGTTGTTCGATATTTGGTTGAAGAAGGAGGTGCAGATATTAATCAAACTACAGACTCGAGTAGTTCGCCTTTACGTGGTGCATGCTATGATGGCCATTTTAAAATAGGTTTGTTTGATTATTAGAATTGATTTTATTTCTTTTTTGATCTTTTTTTACGAATTTCTCAAAATCTTCATTTTAGTCGAATATTTGGTTTCACGAGGAGCAGATATTGAATTATCAAATAAGCACGGCCATACACCGTTGATGATTGCTGCATTTAAAAAACACGATCGAATCGTTAAATTTCTTTTGGATTCTGGAGCATCACCTTTTAAAGCTTCAGCTAGAGTTAAGTATTCATATTCATTTGATTATCATGATTGTTTGTCTATTAAATAAATATTAAAAATAAATATTTTTAATATTTTCACTCTTTTTTACAAATTCCACTTTATTTTAGGAAATACAGCAATGCACGATGCAGCCGAAGCTGGATCTTGGGCCATTGTGCAGATGCTATTACGCGCTGGTGCTTGTAACGTTCCTGATGAATTCGGCGTGACACCAATGATGTGTGCGGCGCTTGCTGGTCATATTACAGTTATAAGGATTTTAAAGGCATATGCGAAACCGCAGGATGTGAGAGATGCTTTGAAAGTATGTTCCCTTTTTAACCTTTAATATATTTTAATTACAGATCAGTATTAAATGAATATTTTTCAGTTGTATGGCGCAACTCTGGTTGACAGGAATATGGATATATCCGGTGCTATTCATATATGGACAGAAGCTTTGGAATACGGTTTTCCCAATGATAAGCGAGAACGACACGAAGTGTATGATGGATTAACTGAAATCGATTCGTATGCCGATATAAGGAATGTAATTGGTGATCCAGATGCAATGCGTATGCAGGTTGTAATTTCTCAGATCTTTGGAAGACCAGATCAATTATATATCTTGTATGTGCATATTTCATCTCGAAAATAATCTCTTTTTTTGATGTGAATATTTCAGGCCTTAATAATAAGAGAACGCATATTGGGTAGAGGTCATCATGAAACACATTATTATATCCGTTATAGAGGAGCTTTATATTGTGATTTAGGACAAAATGCTCGTGGTTACCAATTATGGATGCATGCTTTAAATCTTCAGGTATGTGCTGAAAAAATTCTAAATCTTTTTTCCGTAATATTTATTAGTTATTTCGCTATATTCCAGCTCTTTTATTATTTAAGCAAGAACATCTATATGCTTTTCATCCTTTAACAACTGCGACAATCATGTGTTTTGTGGACACTTTTGTGAATAATGTTAATGAGCTAATAATAAATCGGAATGCTGATGATAGAAGGCAACCTGTTTCACGGCAAAATATTCTAAGCGTTTTCGATAAAGCTGTTTTTGAGATGGAAAGGTTGTTAATTTGTGATTTTATTATTGGGTTAAAGTTTTAAATTCAAAAAAAAAAGTCTATCATAAAGTAATTTTTTTAAGCATACATATTAGTGCTGCATTCAAATAGAATTAAATATAATATATTTCTGCTTTTCATCAGCTCAACTTTTTATTTAACTGAACTATTTGCGTAGAAAGTTGGATCGGTTGTAAGCAGTTTAATTTCACCACTGTTAACTTTTTTTTCGATAGTCAATTGGGACCTTTATAGATTTGCTGCGGGTGATGTTCGACTTAGAACTGAAGATACTTTAGAGGAAAAACCAAATGAAAAGAAATGTTTTGAATTTTATGTAATGGCATCTATACAGTTGATGCTTCTGGTTCGTTCGCTTCTAATTTTTTGTTAAATGGGTAATGAAATAAGAAATGTAAATTAGAGTTGGAAATTTTTGTTTTCCTTTTCAGTTTATTATCAACTTTTTGAAATAATATAACTGTTATGACTTATAATCACTCTTTATTTTTATTTAGTTCAATCGTATATCTGCATTTTCCTCTACATCAGAAGGAGAAGAGAGCATAAAAGAGCAAGAAGATAGCGAATTATTATTTAAAATCGTGTTTCGTTTCGTTTTTGTGTGTGGACAGTTATCTCTATATCCTCTTCATGTAGCTTGTAACGATAAAGATAAATCGTTGCCATCGCATTTTTCATGTGCTCCAGTTATTGAAATGCTCATAAAAGCAGGCATTGATGTAAATCTCAAGGATCCACTTGGTGCGTCGTTTTATGTGCTATTATTTGTTTTTATCATATTTTATTTAGTCGTTTCAAATTTACAGCCTTTGTGAATGATTGAAGTCTTGATAACCAAATCTGAACTTTAGCTTCTATCATATAGAAAGAGTTCAGGTTATTCCACTTTTTTTTTCCATTTTCTTGCTTTTAGTTTATTTGTCTTCGGCATCTTTAGTTTAGTAAAATTAGTAAGAGGCTCTAGCAAAGAAAAGGAGCGCAAATGAAAAAACAAGAAAGAAAAGAGTATTCTTTTTGCGGCATAATAAAGAAAGGGTATCCAACCAAAAAACTTATACTGAGAAAACAAAAATTAATAGCGAACTTGACAGTTGAAATTGCAAGTAGCATTGTTTTTAAGTTCAGAAATAGAAACTCCGCATAACTGAAAATATTTTTTAAATCTTAGAAGGAAATTTAAAAAAAAAAAAAAAAGTGAAATTACTAAAATTTTACAGGAAATACAGCATTGCATGTTGTTCTTTTCAACAACCAACCGCGAACGAGTATTATACAGTTATTATTGTCACATGGTGCAGCATTATTAGCACGGAATAAAGCTGATCAAACATGTTTCCAACTCATATTTAAGTTAATGCCTCGCTCACTTGAGCAGCTTAGATTAGGTTCTTTTATGAGATGTTCTTTTATTTTATTTGTAGCAAGTCTCTTTTAAACGTTAACGGTTAATGTTTTCTATTAATTTCTATTAATTTCACAGAATATACTATATACTGTACTATACAATATTACATATTATTCTATATAATGGGGGTCGGATGACTTAGTGAGTTGTTGCTCAATTTGGAGCGCCGATGCTGAGGTTCTGTTCCTCGCAATAAACCTGTCCAAAAATCCGGGTGGTGCTGGCGATTCACGTGTACTTTTATCGCTAAGGGACTCCCTAGGCATATTTTTCCGGTTTACTGCAACAAGCCGGCGACAAGCCAGCGGAACGAGTTTAACCAGTAATGGTGAGGATTCTTAAAAAAAAAAATTAATTAAAAAAAATTAATTTAATTTAATTTTTAATTTTTATTAATTAAAATTAATAATAATTAAAAAATTAAAACAAATTTCGTCAAAATATACTATGCATTATACAATGCTATATTATAATATCTCATTATTATCGATATGCACTTTTTTAAGGTAAATATCTAACTCTTCAAGGTTTTGCTGCAAACTCTTTGCAACGGTACGATTTGACGAGAATTTATCATGGATATATATCTCATTTACAAAACTTCATTTATTTGCATTGAATTGGTATGATTTTGTTTTTGAACTTCAAATTTGTTCTTTTTCTTCATTATATTTATTTACATTTTTGATAAGCAATTTTGTGGAAGAATTGATTCATATGCATTCAATTGATTCATAATTTTGCCGATGTATTATTAGAAATTTTGCTATCTTTGGTGGTTTACGTAGAATAATTTCAACAGAATTTAATTTAGAATTTATAAATAGCAATGTGTATATTTGGTTTTTTATTTTATAGCAATGAAAGGAAGTAGTGTTAGCCATCTAAATAACTGCATTTGAATAAGTTAAAAATTGAACTCAAAAGACTGGAATGTTGATAAAGATTTCTGATAAAATTGTGCTGATAATTTATTAGTTCATTTTTGCATTTTTTTATACGAAATAAGCTATTATCAGGTTATTTCATTCAGAGTTGTATAATCTTTTTGCATAATCTTTGCGGTGGTTTTTAAACTCCAAATGATTTAAATGTAAATTGAAAATTCCCGGTGGTGAAATATCAGATCAAATAAAATACGTTTAAAAAAGCATCAAATTGAACAGTCACATATTTTGTGGACTTATGTTTCAAGAGCCACTGAAATGCTTCATCTCTTTATCATTTGGTAGGATGCATAATATATGGTAAATATGGTGGTAAACTAATTAGATTTCATACCATCTCAACTGCATCATTATTTTTTAAATTTTATATTTGTATTTTAAATTTTGTATTTGTAATATTGAATATTAAAGTTTGATGTATTAATCTATTAAATTCATAGGATCTTCGGTAAGTGAAATAAATAATAAGAGAAATAATGTAATGCATGTCCACTTTTCATTGTATTTCATTACTGACGAAGTTGAAAAAAAAATTATCATTAAATATTTTCTTCTCAAGTGTTTCAAGCTTATGGATTTCTGCAACAAACAAAATAACTTTTGTTAAATGGTAACCGAGTGTGATAAATGCAGTTTTCTTCTTCTTGCGCCTACTGATTCGGTTAGTTTCACTGGCTATCGATCTAACTCCATGAAAATAACAGGAGCGACTCGTTTTTTCACCATATATAAGCCTTCATATCGCCGCTTGTATGCTTGAAATCTATTCTAATCATAAGGGTGCTGATCTTGGCTGGAGCTCCTCACCTTTAGAGCTGTCCATATTTTGACATATCGAGAAGTGTACGTCCATCCTTGTAACGAGTTGCGAAAAATGCTATCAGTATATAGGATCGATCTGAAGAAAATTGATTTGTAATTTTTGCTTGTTGCTTTTCAGAGTTTATTGTTATTGAATTTATTTACAGTTCAAATATATTTCTTAAATGAAGCATGATACTTTATTTACGTAGTCCATCAGATTCTTATGGTTCTTCGAACAACGACCGTAAAATAAATTATGAATAAAATTAGTTAAATAAATAAAAAAATCAAAATAAATATAAATATGGAAAAGCAAAATTAAGCAATAGCAATATTATAGCAATAAAATGATATTATTTGGAAATTTTTATGGCCAATACTGATGAAAAGGCCTCGGACAGTGCTAGGCCAGTACCACTGCAGTGTATAATCTGGCTTAAAAATTGGTTATTAGTGAGTTCGTGGATGTTTGATGATAAATTTCATCCAAGTGCGGGAATATTTCATAACCCATCTTGGAGCTAAAAATGACTTCAGTTTTTGCGTCATCTGATTATAAAAAGTGTGAAGCGTTCTGAGCGGTGGTGTGCATGGTAGGTGGCTAATTTAAGAGGAAGAGCCTGTATCGTCCTAAAAGAAAGAATGTGCCTAGTCAAATGCTCAGTGCGGCAATTATTTATGAAACCATAAACTGCATCGCAGTAATCTGTTAAGATATTTTTCGTGAATAGAATGCCTTTAGAATCGAATGCTCCGATAAAGCTAAGCATTGAATGGATAATCAAAAGACTTACAAATTGACGGCTTCGATTTAAGGCAACCAATTGTTGAAGTAAACTGCCGAGTAAACTTCGTAAATTTTGAGCGAATAATGAATTATTGTAGAGATATGCAAATAATTGGTTTTATAAAATCAGCTTTCTTCGCTCCACGTTTCGCACGACTTATTTGGTGCCTTGGTGCCTTGGTAAAGTAAATCGGATGACTGAATTGGCTAAGTTGTTGACCAATTTGCCATCAAATTTTACTTTTGAATAGCCAAGTTCTAGCAAAGTTGGTACAATTGACAAAATACTTTTTGGCCCATTTCGCCAGATGCTTTGATAAATTTATTTAAAATTATAGCAGAGTATGACCAATAATTCAGCAAATTATCTAAAATTCAAGATTATCAGAATCAGAAAATACAAAAAAATTATAAAACGATGGAGAAAGAATGACTTCTATTATGGAGTGAATATGCTGCCGGATCAAGAGACTCTCATTCTTATGGTTCCCGAACTAGTTTCACCAATAATGCGAATGGTGTTCGAAGAAAAAAATTTCACTTGTGTTGTATACCATTATTAGTTTTCTGGTGAAAAATTATTGCATTACTAAATGAGAGGAATTATTCTTAGACACATCACCTGTTTCTTTTTTAAATTTATTATTATTGGCAATTCCATCTTTAAAATAAAAAAATTTATTAAAAGGCATTCGAACTGAAGAGGATAATTTATTTTTCATTGTAAGTGGTAAGGGGAAACGCGAAAAAAACGATTTCAGATAATTTTTAGTTTATTGAAAAAAGGTGCATTATAAATAGGAATAATGTTGAGAAAAATCATAAAATGCATTGATTCACTAAATCGTAAAATATTCGTTTATTCGTCAAATCGCTGAAATTTCATTTTCATAAGGAACAAAATAAAAAATAAACAACAAAATAAGTGAAAAAAATATATGCAAAAACTATTTCGATTTAAAATAATGAATTTTTGGAATGAAATGAAATAATTATGCGGACTTTAAAACTTTATTTGAACTTCATTTATCCTTAAAACCTTTTAAGGTAAGCAAATAGATAACTGAATTTAGGTCGGTTTTGGGAAATCGCATTTTTCTCAATTATAATTCGTTTTATTACCTTTAAAACGAAATGATATAGTAAATTTCAAAGAGAAAGATAAATGGCTGATTTCTTTGAATACCATTTCATATTCCAGACCGAGTAAATCTGACGAAACATGAAAGCATAGAAAAGTTTTTTTGAAAATATTTTGTTTAAAGATTGAATTTATTAAAATTTTACAATCTAAAAATACAAACCTTACCACTGCAATTTAAAAACCACACCATAGCATTTGCATCCAATCCAATTCCAATCCGATGAGAATAACTTTTCCTATGTACTTTCTTTTTTAGAGAGAATCATATGCTGGAAAGAGAAGAATAAAAAAATTCGCATCTGCAATCAAAATTAGTAAAAAAATCTATTTTAACTTCTATTTAAATCTATTTTTATGATAACAATAATTACTGCTATCTCTGAGTGGTAAGTAGTGCTGGGATGTATACACTGTTACTCCTGGCTCTGGCGAAAATCTCAGCTAATTCAGCTAACTAATCTCAGCTAACTAAGCTAACTAATCTCAGTTAACTAATTCTGGCAAATAATTCATCAATCATAAATTGGGATAAATTGACTTCTATTCCATTAGTTTAAAGTACTCTTTAAAGCAGCGGAAAATAATTTCATTAATCCTAATTCTTTAGATAATTCAGCCAAAATAAAACTATAACTCAAAATTTACATCACAATGGAATTTACAAAAAAGCATTTCAGTAGCCACTGATTTATGTTAATAACAACAATATAAAGTATTAGGCAAATTCAGCACTAATAAATATAATAAAGAAATATAAAACTAATTATGATGAATGGAAAATTAAAAATAAACAACTATTGATGAATCGGGTTCGAAAAAGTATTCGGTAAAATTGGTATAAATGATAATAATTTCTTTATTCACGTCAAAATGGCTCAAATGGTTGAGAAAAATGGTTACTTTCAAGCATGGCTCCGAATTATACAGCTTGTGCCACTGGATTACAGTGGCAGCTTGCAGGCATTTGAAAATCAGTCAAGAATATATCATCATAATATCGTAAACTGAAAATATTAAAGGAGTTGTAGAATTTATGTGCTTAAAATGGCTTTAACAACCATTTCCTGCCAAAATAACTCTCAGTGAGCTGCATCGAATTCAAAAATGTATTTTGACAAACAAAATTTACCGCTGGTAATATCTGCTGAAGCAGCTTTCTAAAATATTTGAAAGGATTTTTTTATGAAAATTTAGTCATTATTTTATTTTTTATATAGTTATAACTTTAAATTTTTAAAAAATTCATTGAGCTCGAGAAGGAAATTAAAGCAATTGGTAGGGTTTTTGTGCTTTGAAGGAGAAGGCATTGCAAAGCAAAGTATGCACTGCATAGCGAAAAAGATATGATAAAATAAAAAAACGAATGTCTGGAAGAAAACTGATCCACCTGTCGAAGAACGAATTTATCAAAAATTTTCAATTTTAGCACTTTCTGGATATTAATTATTTCTTTTGCTTTTGATATAATCGTCCATTCATTGGCATGTATCGTTTTTCGATTTCGATTCTTCGCTTGAGAATTTTTTTAGCGCATTTCTCGCCTTCTCGCCTTCGTCCCAAACTTTATGAAAATAACATTTTTCATTTTTTCTCTAATTACTTGGCCAAAAAATTGTAATTATTCTTCATCTTCTGCTTTAGCCAACGGATTATTAGGACGGGATTTCCTAACCAGGAAATCATTTGAAGACAGAAAAACAGATGGACCCCATTCTGATTTCACTATCATAGACAGGCTTTTTTTCCCAGAACACTAACTGTTTTTGGTTTACTCCACTGGCTTTACCAATGATAATTTTATTCCCGCCAATGTGCCAATCTTTATACACAAAGGTCCTTAAATTTTTTCGCTAAAATATCCCAGCCTTTTTGCATTCTAAATGTAATTCCAAGCAATTTTGACGAATAAATTCTTTTCAAGTAAAAATTTAAAAGCGCATTAATTTCTAAGATTCTTAATCATTATACTACCTTTATTACTATTTTTATAGTTCATTGTATTTTATGATTTTGCTATTATCGAATAAAAAATATAACTGAAAAACTTTCCATCATTTAAATCCTGTTCATTTCGTTTTATTTAGAATCTTTTCGCTCAATCGTTAAATTTCACACTTATGATGAAAGTTTACGAGACTGCAATATATTTCGTTATAAACTGTTTAAATGCCGACTAAGAAGTTATTTTTTAGTTAAGTGTTAAGCGAAATCGGGCAAAATTATCTCCTAGTTTTTAATTCTGGAGAACTTTTATCCGTCTCACTTCACTGAAGAATTTTCTCTATGCAGTTAATCAAATCAAATTGTATGTTTATATGCATTTTGACAGAGTTTAAGGTTCAAATCTTCAATAATTTTATATTTTCGCTTCTTTGATGAAAATTTTTAAACCATGTTTCTGTTTCAAATCGAAAAGCTCGGTCTAAGTCAAAAAGTCTTTGCAGATTAATGCAGAAATAACTTTTCGTAATTCACTAAGCATTCTTTAGAAAATAAATAATTTAATAGAGTGGAATACTTTTTCTCAGCCTTAAAAATTTTTCGAAGTAAAAAACTCTTCCAAATTCTCTTCTCACTTTTTCACTTTTCTGAAAAATTCATATTTATTTCACTTCAAGTATTTTGCATACTTTTGTATTACATGTCTTATGAAATTTTTTTTTGCAGTTTTTTTCCAGCAAAGATTTTAATGTGGCTGAAATTCTTAACCCAACTGAAGTTATTACGTTATTCTAATTGTTATATGGAAAAAGTTTTAAAATCATGAAATTCGCCTTTAAAATGATTTATTCAGCGATTAAGTCCTTTATGATAAAATACATTCAGTGATGAATATCAGAAAAATAGTTAAATTTTTAAAAAATCATCGAAATCTGTCGATTTCTCCATCGCTAAGATTGATTATTCTCGTTTTTCCTTTACAATCACTTTTAAGAGTTTTAATAGATTTTATTAGTTAATATTCAGTAAATATTCAGACATCCCTATTCATGTCGTTAAGCAATAATTATTTTCCAATTAGTTATAAAAATTATATAGCTAATAAGTTGACAAAAATTACGCAAAATTATTGTACGTAAGCGCATCAAATTCGCATTAAATTTTTCATTTATTTATTTATTTTTATTTTATTTTTCCATTTATTTGTTTTTCATTTATTTTCAATTTTCCTGCTTTTTTTCTCGATTCATATTATTCGTATTTTTAAATGGTAGTTTATATGGTTTTCTAATATTGCATTTATATTATCTATTTATCTATAACGTCAAAAAAATGATTTGCGTTTTATAATCTTTAGAATTAAAAATAAAAATAGAAAAAATTTGTCTTTATGCAAGACGAAAACGATGAATGGATTGCTTATTAGCACATTGCGTGTAAAATTATCAGATTTCAGACTTAGAAAATCGTTGAAAAAAAAAAAGAAAAATTTTTTGTTATTCAATTTCTATTCGCATTTCGTATTTTACGATAATCTGTATGAAATAAAATTATAATGGACGATGATGAAGCAACGCATAGTTTTTATGCTGATTATTTTCTCGATTACAATAAATGTTGGTTTTTACCAATTTTTTAAAACATAATTTTTAGATTGCTCGGTTGGAAATACAAATAATGGTGTTTAATTTCGTAAAGATCAAAATTTTTTTCTAAACTTCAGAGTGTAATTTATGTTATAATTGTGTCAAAATTATTTTATGTTACCTCGATCCCTTTCACTGTATTGAATAATTTAATTAATTTATTATAAAAAGTAATTTAGTTTAATATAAATAAATAATTTTAATTTCATAGTTAGGTGAAAAAAAGACTGACAATTTCTCCTTAGAAAAGTGTGATATAGTAAATATGCAGGAGGCAATTAACAACTGTTTAAATTTTTGAAAACTTTTCACAAAACTTTTCAATTTTTGAAAATTTCAATTTCTTTTCGCAAATTAATCTTTTAATGAAAAAATTATTGAATTTTTTCATACGTCCAACTTTTTTTTTAAAAAATGAATTTGCGGTTAAGAAGAAAATAATAAATTAAAAATTAGAAATAATCTGAATAAAGCAACTAGAAAATAATTGCTTAATTTGTTTAATCTTAATCGTTAATCGTTAATTTTTTAAACCTTTTAAACTTTTAAGTATACTTTCAGCGAGTTTATACTTGGATTTTTAAAATTAAATCTTACAGTCTACAATTTTAAAATTATTTTTTAAATTATGAAATAAGAGCTCGCAAAACTTAAAACTCAATAACTTTTGATAGAAGATTGAATTGAAGATTTTCATAGGACAGAATTTCCTAGGTTTTCTCATTAGAAAAGTGTGAAGTGTAATAGTATGCACGCTGAGGGATAGAATGGATCAGTAGATTGCTGCTCAGTTCAGAGCACCAATGCTGAGGTTTTATTTTCCGCAAGAGTAAAAACCTATCCAAAAATCTGGGTTATGCTGGTGACTCATCGGTACTTCTATAGCCAAGGGATTCCTGGCATTTTTGTCTAGTGCAAGCCAACGGAACGAGTAACGGTGAGGACTCTTTAAAAAACGGACAGGTTTTAGTTATTTTCCATGTTTCAGAAAATGATTTATATTTGATTTCCAATATTATATTTTCTTTCTTCCAGCAACGATCTTATAGTCCTTTTTTCTCCGAAGTCACAGTTTTTATTTTGGTTGACTAAAATATTTTTCTCAAACCTTTCAGCAAAAAGTCAACAGGAATTTTTTAGTTGGTCATGCTTTTAATAACGTAGCATTTAACAGAGCAATTAATCAGTATTTCCAATTAATAATTAATTAATGATTAATGAGTTTGATTTGAAATAAATAGATCAAAAACCCAAATATTCATCGACAAATCGTATGCAATTATTTTCTTAAATGATTGATAGCACTTATTTACGATGAGATTTTCATAATCACTCAAAATTTTATAAGAATTTCCGTAATGAAAATAGATTTCAACAGCTGACTGACTATATAATTAAATCTTTGTAACTATAAAATTCTTCGTTTTATTCCAAAATTTTTTGTTTTACGATGGAAATAAAATTAAAATTTAATGAAATATTCGGAAGATTTTAAGAACCGCGCGTTTCGAAATCAAAAAAATCAAAACAAAGTGGAAAAAGTTAAAATTCTTACTAAATACATGAAAAAATGTACCCATAAGTACGCAGCGTTGAATGCTTTGGGCCATCTTCCTGTGAAAGAAAAAACTTTTTCGTTCACCTTTTATTTTCCTGTGTTTTGTCGCTTAAAATTTTGCGTTGCCATTGTAACTATTTTTTTGCGCAGTGGTGCTGGATTTGCCTTTTTAATTTTCCAAATCTTCAAATTTCTCCTTAATTTTTTTAAAATTTATTTTTAAAATTTTTTTCTGTTTTCATTCATTTGATGCAAATTATTTTATTTTTTTGTATAATATGTTGCGAACAAAAATAATTTTCATATCTATGATGTTTATTCATTATTCATTAAATAAATCGTAAATGCAGACGGTTCGCCGTTGTTGGTTCGCCCTTTAACGGAATTTTGGTAATTGTAACGCCAACCTCAGTAATATGTTTGGTGCAAGGAAAATACTCTTTCTGTTCTTAGTTTATCTTATTTGCTTATTTCTGTTTTCTCTTACTACCGTCTATTAATTTTTAATTGCAAAATTGCAAAATAAGTACCAAAATAAATTAGAAATTAAACAGGTGATATTTAAGCAATTTTCGAGATTTTTTAAAGAAATTCGCATGAGTACTTTAAAATAATTTTATTGGATGAAAAAAAACGAGGATTCTTAGATTTGTTATGAAATAAATTCCTAAAATTATTATATTATTCACAACACATTACTTATTAAGAAGAAATTTTTCAATCATAAAAATCTAAATTCTTATGAAATAGTATGTTAAAATGATTATTTGAAGTGTTTGGGCAATTATTGTTCTATTTGCATTTTTCCAACGAATTTTAATACAATAGATAAAATTTACATAAGAATTGTTGCACTTCACTGCAAATCAAATCCGCTTTCAGTCGTCAGAGAACAAAGTGAATTTAAGTTAAAATAGGTTTTTATGTATGTTTTCATTGTATTTACGGCATCACTATCCTAAATATCTGCGAAAATTTTTAATCTAATTGTGTGTTTCGTAAATCTTAAATTTTAATAATTTTGCCCCCTAAAAATATCTTTTAATGTTTAATTTAGACAAAATAATAAATACATTTTTGTATTTTTCATGCAATACGTAATAAATTTTTTACGGTCTTTTATAACGAAAAATTTTGATTTCAAGCGAACTGCTTTTGGCCAAATTATGAATTACTTGGCTGCGATAAATAAATAAAATTTCTTTTGCAAACAGCTTCATTATTGAATTATGAAACAATAATTTTGTATTTAATAATAATAAATGCACCCAACCAGAATTTTACAAAGAAGAATTTCTCCGCTAAATATCTAATTTTCATTTAAAAATATTTAAAATTAATATCAAATTAAAGTAGAAAAAATACGAGAAAATCAAAGTAGAAAGCTTAAAGGCATAAAATAAGATTTTTTGCAACGTTATTGCATTTCCGAAATAAAATCTTCTGCAGGTGGTCACTTTTTCATTTTTATAACCAACCAACTTTCCTTATATAAATGTGCTTGTTTGTTGAAGGATCCAACAAATTTCTTTTGTTTGATATTTCGCATCCAATTTTTTTTAGACTTTTGATGAAAGCAACACTATTAAAAGCAATAGATGAAATTGTGTGGAATTTCCATGAAAATTCGGTAGAGAAGGTCGGAAAATAAGTGAAATTAAAACGACTTTCAGTTACCGCAGCGTTAGTAGAAAAGAAATTATTTTGAATAAAGCTTGTGATATGAAAATTTCATCAGTTAATTTTATCACTTGCGAGACACTTGTTTACCATTCTTGTTTATCTTCGTATCTGTATGCAGTGGTTTGCAATGCGAATTCACTCCCACTGGTACAGTGCTAGTTTTGCAGTGGTACTTCCAAAGTTTGTTTTCTTCTTAATCTGAAACATTTTTTTGTCACTTTTCTAAGAAAATGTCATAAAGATATTTGTTTATATTTAGAAAATTAAATAATATTTTTTTAAATTAAATTAATATAAAATTAATTAATATTTAGAAAATAAATTATCAAAACCTTTCGCATAAAATCTTAATGCGTTCTTATAATTTAAATAACCACCCTTTGGCCAATTTAGGCAATTTTTGCTAATAATTTATAGCCAATCTTATTTGCCGATTGTGGTTGAATTTAAGGAGTAATCGAGTAATAATTGACTAAAATAAATGATTTCATTCATATTTCGCTCCAATTCTTCATTATTTCATCGAAATTTTCAATTTAATAATAAAAATATAAAATTAAAAGTCACAATTACGAAATTGCGATTAATTATGAAGTAATTACGAAATATGGTTCGTAAATTTTGGGAAAAACGATCTGATGAGAAATTTTGGAAAAATTTTTTTACCAATTCGTTTTCATTTTAAGAAGATTAGACAAAAAATAAATAAAGAAAAAGTGTAGCAAATAAAACGTACGACTGACAACTGCAGAAATAACGATTCAACTTATTTATTTAGGGAAAAGTCAAGGAAATTTTTAAGTATTGTTATTATGAAATATTTCCGCTTGATCCAATTGTATTATAATTGCATCCCTGTAACAGCGGAACGGTCAAGTAGAGAGTGTTTTGATCACCTTAATCAGTGG